GACCCATCTCTTGGAAAAGCCCTGCATCTATCCAAGCTCAGGAACACGTGTGATGAGCCCATTGCAAGCTACCACCTGCCTTCAGCACATTTTCCATGTCTGTCAATCTTCTAAGATGCATTGAGAAGCACAGTGTTGCTGTAGACTGTATTGAGACTGAAATTTGGTTAAACTGACCCCCAAAGATGCTTGGGTATAACCAGTTGAAAAACCAGTCTCAGGCTTATAACCTTATAACCTAAAACACATACATTTCTGGTATGTGCCAGATCCATAAATTCGCCTTCCTCTGTTTGAAATGATTCTTCAGCTCACTGAACATTGAACCCAGCTGCTGTCTTCCATATGTACCAAATTCACCATAATGTCTTGGACAATTCAACTCATCTCTTGAGGATTCAGTTTTCTGACTTAAAGAAATTAAATTTCAATGTTTTACAGTCACCAGCAAGAGACTGGATACACTGAAGGTGTCACCTGCTTCCTCCTGGGATGTTGACTCATACAGCAGGTCCATCTGACTTCAAAACCCATGCTCTCTCCACTGTGCTAGGCTGACGTCCAGAACCTCTTGTGGTTTTTGCAGTGATCACCCTACATTCCCTGAACTACTGAGGAAATGCTAAGGGTGTAAGTTGACTCTCCAAAACCACCCAGCTAATAAAGTTTGAGTGAGGAAGCCAAGCTTATAGACCTCTAATTCCCCAGCCTCCAACCATTGCTGTGCTGTCTTTATTGTCCAAAACAGTTTCAAAGGGACAAAGTGTGCTTTAAACATACTTATCTTTTTCCCATTAAATCCTATACTTCTAGTAGAAAAACCACTGAATTTTTCAACCAGTTCAGATTCTATCAATTACAAGCTGCAAGAATTTGGGCATATAATCATAGAAATGTCCATTTACTCATCTGTTACAAGCTATAATGTTTTTAAATTACTTCATTTGTTGATGGCTAGATTCAACTGAGATAATATAAGCTACATGCATGTAGTAAGGTACTCTACAGAAGTAAGGGATAATAATAGTAAAAAGACTTAGAGATGCCTTACTCATCTTTGTTAGGCATGTTGTACCAGTATATTTAGGGAAAGCGACCTAAAAACCCCGGGTCAAACCATGCAGCAACTTATCTGAAAGGAAGAAAAGCAGAACTATGGTGGAGAGAATTGATCAAAGCTGCTGGTAGTAATTACTAAGTGTATTTTTTTCTTTTTTGTTTTTCTTTCTTTCTTTCTTTCTTTCTTTCTTTCTTTCTTTCTTTCTTTCTTTCTTTCTTTCTTTCTTTCTTTCTTCTCTCTCTCTCTCTTTCTTTCTTTCTTTTTTTTGTCCTGGGTCTCAGTCAGGTGAAATTTGGCAATGTCTGGAGGTTACTTTGGTTGTCACAACTTGCAGAGGGGGAGATGGCTACTGACACCTAGTGAGTAGAGGGCCAGGATGCTGTTAAATATTCTAAAATGCATAAAACAGCCCCCCATAACAATGAATTATCTAAGCCAAAATGATAATAAGTGCCGGTGTTGAGAAATCTGGTTTATTAGAAGTTGCATGAGTTCAGAAGTTAGTGTATCTTGTTTATTACTGTGTCCTAGTATCTAGCGCTGTACTTGGCCTAAAGAGGGCACCCAATGTATAAACATTTGTTTAGGTGAGTGTGAATGAACATCCACAGAAAAAAGTAAATAATGCCTTTTAGATTTGCTTCAGATTGCTAGAGAAAATCATAGTTCCTCTAGGTACGTTCTGCTTATTCTTCTGTCTTCTTTACTTTTCTTTCCTGTCAAAGCTTCTTTCTTTCCTTTCTATCCTCTCCCAACCCTGGCCAAGAATAAGAGCCTTTCAAATCTGAGCATGCCTGGGAGTGATAAATAATACTTATAAGACACAAGCACTGCAAAATTTCTTGCAGCTCCCCCCTTCATACCACTCCATTTCAGCAGACAGTGATAACGTCAGTAAATAAGTGGATTCATTCTTGTTTCTTCACTGAACGTGAACAGACAGGGCCAGAAGCACATATTTCCTGAAAATGCCTTACTAGAACAGTTCAATTATGCTTTTAAGAAGACACATCCTGGGCCATGAAATAGAACCTGGCTTGAGGTGAGAAAATGGAAAATGGAGGCATTTCGTTCTGGGAGTGCAGATATTATGCCTCTTTGTTCATCACTGTACCTCTGATGCCTAGCATGGTGCCTGGCATGTGGTAGACACCTCTAAATACTTAGTGAATGAAAGGATAGCCTAGTGAGGTCAATATTGCAGCTCTTTTCTCAAATCTTGTCCAGTTGAAAACATTTTTTTCCTCGTATGAAGGTGGTTTGAATGCCATAAGTTTTGAAAAATTGTGTCCATTTTTCTCCCTCATGGAGATCTAAAACCAGATAAAGTTGTGTAGGTTCAACATTGAGAAGCAATTTCAACACGGTGATTTTAAAAGTCTTTGCAATAATAATTTATAGTGGACACAAATGTTCTTAAAGCCATGTTTTACCAGAAATAAAATAAGCCTAAAACATTTGTTATGTCTTTACCAGAAAGTCTACACTGGGACAACGTGTGATAACTTGAGAGGATTTAAAGATTTTGTAAGCAAGACTAAAGAAATCACATGGGGACTATCAGTAGAAATCTTTTATGCTCAACACATCATTTCCCCCAAAGGAACATAATAACATGATCACCCACTTATACATATTGGCCAGCCCAAAGCTCCATAGCAAACTGATTGCCCTGTGTTGGGAGTAAGCTTTCCAGAAACTGTACTGAAATGTGTTTGGAGTTTCCCCTGAACAATTTTCCATTAGTACTTTTGGCTAGAATCTGTGTTTAAAAAATGATCACTGTAAAATATATTAATTATGCAGATCCATTAGTCTGTAGAGTGGAGAGACTGAGGTGTTTCCATTTTCAAACCCCAAATCTTTAAACATTTACAGACATACTGATGACCAAAAGCCTTTTCTGGAAGATTTAGTGCTTTATAGGCTGATTTTGGACTGAAAATACTCACAGATTCCATTTCCTTACATGAGTATATAACAGGACCACCAGCTCTATTTGTATACCAGCCTAGAATGTTTGATGACAAATTCAAGACTATTCCAACATTCATTATGTCTTAACACCAGCTGCTTTCTCCAGACTTAGCAGATCATTTTTAAATACTTAATGATCAATATGTTTGGTTATCACATTCATAGCCAAAAAAAGCGCAGAAGGAAACATAGGTAAGATGGAGTACAATCTCTGCCGCTATTTGGGATTTGGCCACCTCTCTGAAGAAAGTAATAGTTTCTCTTGCTAGAGACTGAAATATGATATACTTTATAAAATTGTCTCTAAGATTAGCTTTAAGGGATAGCTGATAATGATGAACAGTGTGGTTGAGCAAAACATATTTCCTGAAAGTAAAAGTTCTCATTTGATGACTCTTAATATATTTAGAACTCTCCTAAATTTTGTTGAAAAAAGCAAATTGATTTACATTTATTTATCAGTACTGGAGTTAATATCACACTGTCTGATAAAACTACCTAATTACGATTTTTTTAAGAACAAGAAAAAGAGATAATGCAGAATCAATGATTTATCAAGGTTGCCTCTGACAAAAATGGAATAATTTTGGAAACATATTTTACTGTATACTGCACTCTGAGCTCTTTTTAATTAACTGAGTGTCTACATAAAGGATACCTTAAAAACTATTGCTTATTGTACACAACAGATCACACCAAGAAGTCAATGTCATGTTAACCACTTCGAAACTTGACTCTTGGTGCATCCAATTTGTCATAGGTGATTTCTATTTATTTAGATCCCTCTGAGTTTTGGTAAAATACAGAAAGGGTGTCTATCTGAGCTAGGTTCTATTTTTTAGCATTGCTTTCATCACTCATAATTCTTTCTCATGGAAGGAAAGAAACTGCAGTATTTCACAGACTCATCTCATGACTGGTATGCCCTGCCTCCAGTCCAAATATTGCCACTTGAGGAGAAATACAAACATATTGATTCATTGTCAGTTGCATTTTCCCCCTATAAGTTTCATCTGAATTTTATTGGCTCAAGTGGATTTCAGATGGGGAGCTCAGTGCTCAGGTGCAAAGGAATGCATCTAGGGACTCTAGATTTCAACTTTGTCACGCTTCTCAGCATGCTTATCGGCAGCTGTGTTCATTTTTAGATTACCCAGGTGGTATAGACACTTTGCAATATTCTACCTGAAGTGCTGCCTCAGCCCTTTCCAGCTAACCAAAGAACAGACAAAAAAAATCATGGTGGTGGTGAGCAAAGGGAAGGTGAGAATTCTATAAAGTTTTACACAAATAAATCAAGTCAGTTGGAATTGCTTTTTATATTTTTCATCAATGACAAACCAGACACCTTGAGATATTGATGTTTCTAAGCTATCATGGCATCTTTATTTTGACTTTATGTCCAAAAGATGGAAAATCAAAGGGATGGGTTTATTTTGATCAATTAAAAAAGCTATCTTAATTTAGTCATTTCTGCATATATTTGCCCTGGGCCGGTTTGCTTTAGTCACATTTCACATCTTCAAATTTGCAATTAAGTGGAAATAAAGCACACTTTCTTCAGTTTCAAACACATAATTAATCTGGAGTCATAGAGACACAGTCTGAAGTCTGAGAAAAAAGAGATTATATTGTGTCAGAAGGGGGAAATACTAACAAAAATATGATGTATAATTGTGAGTCCCTGCAAATCAATCCAGTCTAGGAATTTGTTGTAGATTGCACTGATGAAGTGAAACCCTAACAATGGGGAGAGATGAAGAGCATCATCTGTAACGAGCCTACCCAATTCTGAGGCTAATCTTTATCACTGTGTTTCCTCAAGCAAGTGACATACTTGCCCTATGTCTCCATTTTCTCATCTGTAAAATGGGAAAGCAATTCTATCACCCTCGCAGAGTAGTCGTGAAGATTAAAATGTAAAATGTTTGGCACAGTGCCAGGCACGAAGTATTATACTTACTAAATGGAAATAACTATTGTGTTCTTCATTATGCTAAAAAGAACAGATAATATCTCATTGTAAATTTTTTAAAAATCACTTTATTATTCTCCCTAAGATGGCACATGTTTTTATTCCTCAGAAGAGATCACAACAGATTTTTCTGGCTATGGCATTATGTACTTTTCAGAAGTGATCCTCTTAAAGATTGTGCACATTAACTCCGACTCAAACTGAGATTCCTGACCTCTTTAAAATACAGATGCCCTGTGAGTCTGAGCATGCTTGTAGCCCTAACACTCCTATAAGCTAGCAACCTAGAGAAAAAGACAGATACTTATACAGGCATTGTGCTGTTCCTTCAAATTTCATTAATTCATATTACTGAATAGCTTCAGATGAGGATAAACTCCATCTACAGTGAATGACTTTATATACAATGTTCAATGCTGGCGAGTTCACTTAGCAGTAACTGGCCACAGCTCAAGGAAAAAAGTTTCCCTTTGTTTTTCCTACAAACTATCTGCTAAGGAACACTGGGTTCCAGCTAAGGTTTACGGTATCTAAGGCTGTTATTAGCAACGAGCTTATTGGGACCAGTAACAAGACAATATAATAAATTTGTGTGGGTTTGGGGATTTGTCTATTCTTGAGGCTAAGTTAGATTAATCAAAATTCAGTCTATTTTTTTTTTAGAATTAGTAGCTTCAGTGTGGCGTGCAAAGGGTGTGTGAGTTGTCCTCAAGGGAGTAGACATGAGTTAGTGCATTCCTATTTCTATGAGCTGCCCTAAGACTACTTCAGAATCAGAAAAACATTGCCATTTTGAAAAAAGAAAAAAATCTATGCCTAAGAGCTCTAGGCATGCATGATATTTCCAACTTTACTTTTAAAATCTCTGAAAAATGTATTGTCAGAGCAGTTCTTGGTTCACATGCAACAATGCCTTTAACTTTAATTATAAATATATTCCAGCTCATTTCACCATGAAAAGGACTACGCAGATTTGTTGACTGGATAACAAAAAGAGAAGATTATAGCATCAGTTTGTTTCCACTAAAGCAATTACTTAATTATCTTATCGTCTCTGTCTAGAATAATTATATTAAAAGACTTTTCCCCAGACTTCTGAATTAACAACAAAAAAATCAGATCATCTTTTTAAAAAAATATGCAGTTAACCAGAAAATGCACTTAAAAATCTTTCCTACCAGTGTGACCAGACAGTCATTTTGCACTAGTTTGATTTAATAACAGCAACTTTTCTCCTGATTAGCTTCTGATATAGAAACACGAGAGCCAGAGCTGGGCATTTGACAGATGGTGGCACAAATACACAGAGCAAAGAAAGACAGAAGAGAAGCAACAGCCACTTGTGATTATAGCTTTTTATGGTATGCTAGAGCTTTGCTTTAATGATCTGAATACTTTTAGTAAATTCAGATCTATTAAGGTCTGTCTACTGGATCATAGGGGCAACTTATCTCACTCATTCTACATGGATATAAGACCTTATAAGACTAGCACACATCTTTCAGCACAACATACAATATTTGGTAGCTATTTATGGAGTTTAAGAAACTGACTCTGATGAAGAAACTTTAATTAAAATGGTAAGCAGTTTGCAACACAATGAATGTACTTAAGATATTAAACACTCCAAAAGGAGATGGGGTTGAATGACATTACATTTTTATAAAACCAAATATAATAAGTTTGCTCAAATAGTTTCCTTACTATATTCAAAGAAACCCAGATATACTTCAACAGATAAGGTAAGCATTAAAATATCAACAACATAACCTCTTTGGTTTAAACCCATGAATATAAGAAAGCAAAGTAAAAAAGAAAGAGGTATTATCACTAATGATTTCAAAAATGATATTTGGTAAGAAAAGTATACAATCCAAATGTACCTACTCTCCCTCTCTCTCTCTCTCTTTCTCTCTCTCTCTCTCTCTCTCTCTCTCACATCCCCACAGCCAGCTGTAAATCAAGATAGATATAAACTTACCGGAGCAAATATCACCATACACATTTACAAAAGAATTGATAATCCAACTTCCCTCTCCTGAAAGAAAATAGAGGTTGTCTCATACTAAAAATAAAGCTCCTCTATCCACAGCACCAGCCACTTGTCCCTCTTTTTATGAAGCAAAGGAGGAGAACAAGAAAATCAATGCAGAGGGAAAGTGAGATGTTATACCAATCAGGTAGCAGCTTCTGCCTTATTTGCAGAGAGATGGCAAAATGGTCATACTATTAGACAGTAACAACCCACAGCCGAGTACGGGAACCTGATACTCTCCTCTGGTGAACGCTGCCTGTTCTGTGGGGAGGTGGTTGCCACCATGGTGAGCTCCCACACTTGGCTTTGCTCACCACTGTAAGTGCAGGACCGATTTGCACAAGCAGGCTGCATCACCAACAGAGGCACCCTCTCCCCTTTGCTCTGCCAGCCCCCTCCTCCCTCAAGCACAGCACTTAAAAACAAACGGGAAGATAAAAAGGAGCTAGGATTTTGTGTGTTGGGGGGGAGAAGCGGTAGTTTTGTAAAATCCTTATGAATAGATTTGCATAGATTAAGTAAATGTTGATATGTTTGTTAAAATATGCCCTCGTTTTTATGTAAATATATGGTTGTTATGCATAATCCCCATTTGAGAAATTCATACACTGCCCGTAAATAGTCATTAAGGTGACAGTACTGAGATGGGCTTTTCTGGCAACCGCGGAAGGGACGAATTACAACTTGGTTGCTCACTCGTCGCAGGAGTGTTACTTAAAGCTGTCTCCTGCAAAATCTCAAAATTAAAAAGCTTTCAGAGGTTTAAATGTGATCTAGATCTGCTTTTTCTGCAAATAAGCCCCTATAGGAAGGAGTTGAGCTTGGCTACTTCAAAGGGTAGAAATCATGGCATCTTAAGGCATGTGTTTTAGAGGCATTGACACTGAATTCATTGACAGGCTGCCAACAGGTTACATGTTCTTCCCATACTGGTATTTGGGGACAATTTCCCCACATCCCCTGCGCTGCTCTGGACCTATACCAGAGCACAGGGAGAGGAAATCTGTCTGCTTCCCCTCTCCAGTGTCTCCCACTTCAGGACCCTGTTCAGTGCAGGAATATTGTTAGGTTGGCCCCGATGTCTCAGCTTTATCTTTTGTACAGTTGTGATGAATCAACTGAAACTCACATAGGCAGACTATGTTCTTTATAAACAGTTACTAATTCAGAATCTGTTCCAAGTCTTTCTTTGAGTCCCTTTCTCTGTTTCTTTGTCTCTGTGGCTGTCTCCATCTCTGTCTCTTTCTTTGTCTCTGTCTCTGCCTCTTTCTTTCTCTCTCTCTCTCTCCATATCTCTCTCTCTCTCTCTCTCTCTCTCTCTCACACACACA